TCTAAGTCTCCTGGGGACCGAGTAGAGACCTGAGGACCGGAGCACCCACAAGCTTGTAAGTAGCGTGTGCGTGCTCCCCTAACTTGATATGGTCCTCTGCTCCCGCCATATCTGCCCCTCCCACTGACCGTACTAATTCCTCCCTCCTCCTTCAACCCCCCACCCTCCCCCCCCACCCTTTCAACACCGCAACCCCCAGACATGGCTGGTCCTGACCTATTCTCCTCATTAAAAATGGATTTTCTAAAGTGATGGGAGTGGGAAGATCAGAAATCCAGTGAAAGTTGATGTTTGGCAAAAATGTAAAATGGACTGCCCTTTTTTTGGTTTGTTTGTTTACTTTCTTACAGGTGGTGGTTTCCGGGACAGCATTGCTGATATGTCTGAAGAGTTGTGTCCTAGTTCATCTGAGACACCCGTCCCACTGCCTTTTTTTGTCCGCACATCCAATCAGGTCCTGTTCTTTGCTCAAACCAAAATTAGATCAAGTCTTTCAGGTTGTTAAGACAAAGATAAAAGCTACCTAAGAAGAAAATAAAGTGTCAGAGACATTGTTGGCAAGGAAACAAAGCTTAATTTTCTCAATCTTTTCCTGGTGCCATTGAATTAAGTGTTCCAGAGCTGTATTGTATCAGTTATCTCTATTACGGCAGCTTGTTCTTTTCAGTGCTTCAAATCAAGTATTTTTTTTAAAAAAAATTCTTATGTCCAGGTTTAGGCACTAATAGATGCCAGAAAATGGGGCAGTATCTCTGTTGGCCTTTGATGGATTATGTATTGCTAGGTGCTATGATGTCGAACAGGGAATTCTTGTATGGAGTTATGCTGATAGAATCATTACACTCTTGCTTAGTTGTTTGTTTTAAATAAGATATTTGTCATTTTAGGGCAGTGGAACTGGAGAAGCCCGAGATATGTATGTCCCAAACCCATCCTGCAAGGAATTCCTCAAATATGAGTGGATAGGGCATATAATGGGTGCAGCTCTACGTGGCAAAGAATTTCTGGTTAGTATCCACTATTGACTAATTTCTCCTTGATACCAGATACCAGATACCAGAAGGGGGATATTGGAAAAATATCATTCCAGAAAGAAGAACAGTCTATTTCTTGAAGATGAGTGTTTCATTCTTATTTATTGATCAAGTCGAGACATATGTTCTCTTTTTTCTGGGATTCTTTTATTTATGTTTATGGCTATTTCCTTTCATGGATGCATTTGGTTTGTTAATTCAAAAACTTTGTTTCTTTTTAATTTAGAATTTTGACATGGCCTAGGGTCAAGCGTAAGTTGTCCCTTTCTCACATCAAAACTGACCAACAGCCCTATTTGCTATAGAGCCTATTCTCATCAGGCATTTGAGATAACTTGGGACAATATTTCCTAGTTTGTTGTCACAAATTTAAGTGTTTTTAAAAGAAGCTGCATTGGCAACAGAACACCTTCCACCTGACCCTTGGACATATCATGCAGTTAGGAAGGGGAAATGCTAAACTATAAATATCCTTCTCAGTAGAAATTATCCTTCTCTTTTACCAAATAACCAATAGGACAGTTTACCAAATAACTCTCTTTACCAAATAACAAATAGGACAGTTTACCAAATAACTCCCAATTCTGGATAGACAAATAGCAAGTTCCTTAGCCTTAGCATTTGTCAGCCCTTCCAGAAAAATTTGACGATGATGACAAAAAACGCTAACACTGTTTTATTATAAGGTTATAGCGACAAAATTTTGAATGTGCTTTTTCCTCCTTTTATTCTCAGAGTTATTCCTATTGCCCATTTCATTGCCTAAGTTTATGGTATGATGTGGAATTAATGCCTTAAATTGGAGGCAATATTCGGTTTTTATTCTTATGCGTATACATTTATTAATTTTATTTTTAAATACCACTTTAATAAAAAGCTCAAGGCAGCTAACAAAAAGAAATGCACTTAAAATAATATCAAGATACTGAAAAACACTAAAACATATCACGAAAGAAACAAAGCAGCAATATTTGAACTAAAAGAGTATCTTCTCTCCATTTTTGAGCATCTCTTTGGACATAGAGAGATCTAAATGACTGCAACTACCCTTAAAATTCTGCTTATCTTCTTTTTTTGTCCAAGGTCCTTGCTTTGCCTGGCTTTGTTTGGAAGCAACTGACAGGCGAAGAAGTGAGTTGGAATAAGGATTTCCCTGCTATTGACTCAATGCTGGTAAGTCATGAGTAGTGTTTCTCTTTCATGAATAAAACTGGTGTATAGGCTTCTCTCTATTTACTCGCTGCTGGGGATTAGAAATATCGAACAGTACATAATTGAGCTAATGGCTTGAACTTGTTTTTTAAAATAGTTATTGAGAAGGAGGGATAGAAATTCCTTGCACCTTAGTTTTTGTAAAGGACATAACCTAGAAACATCACAATCTCTATCAAAACCATCAGAATGTATCTCTTAAGCGTAATAAGTTTTTGTTCTTTTGAAAACACTTTGACCCTATGTTTATTACACCACGTAATGATGGCTTCAATTTAATCAGAAACCCAGAGGTCTCTTTCTAATTTCCTTGGTTTCTTTCCATGCTCTTAGGTAAAACTTCTGGAGATGATGGAAGGAATGGACAAGGAGACCTTTGAATTCAAGTTTGGGAATGAGCTGACCTATACCACAGTCCTGAGTGACCAGCGCATGGTGGAACTTATTCCTGGTGGCATTCGCACTGCAGTACGCTATGAGAACCGGCTGGAATTTATCCATCTGGTGCAGAAAGCACGGCTGAACGAGAGTAAGGAACAGGTAATTCATTGTGGCATTTTAGAGATATGATCACTACTTTTTTCCCTATAGTTTATCATCAGTCTGTATCAGCATGTTTTAGGAAACGTTGGGCATTGTTTAAGCGAATTGATTACAGAGCTAATATTGAAGAACATTTAACAGAAAACTATATATTCTTATGGACTTGTCAGAAAACAACTGGTTTTTTGGAAGAACTTCTTTCCTACGCATTTGTTTTTGTTCTTACATATTCTCTTCTTACTTCTTTTTCCTAATCTCCCAGATTGCAGCCATGCAGGCTGGACTTCTGAAGGTAGTTCCTCAGGCTGTCTTGGACCTACTTACTTGGCAGGAACTGGAGAAGAAGGTCTGTGGTGACCCTGAAGTTACAGTTGAGGCCTTGAAGAAGCTCAGTATGTATCTCTGATACTTGGACTTCCTGTTGTGTATGAGAATGCTCTCATCTTGAGGAGTATACTGTACATATTCTTCATTGTACCTACTGTTAGCGCCACATGCAATTGCTACTTAGTACAGAATCCCAGCATAATTACCTTATTTAAAAAGTGTGTGGTGAGCTAATTTAGTGCCTCACGACTAATATATCTTCCTCTCTAGTCAGCTGGATCTTGGCATGTAATTGACATTACTGTCTCTGCACTGTTTCTGTTTTTATCTTTCAGCTCGTTTTGAGGATTTTGAACCATCAGACACCAGAATTCAGTATTTTTGGGAGGCCTTGAACAACTTTACTAATGGTGAGCAGAGTAAACAAATGTTCACTGTTGTTTATTAAATGGTTGCAGAGCCAAGCATATTTTAAGAAACTTTTCCCACTGATACTACCATAGTCTCTCCCACAGACCCCATTGCTGAAAAATCGAATTTGCTGTAAACATTTTTCTTTTCTTAAAAAAATAGTTATTTCAGATGAGGAGGACGGAAGTGGTGATGGATTAAGTAAATTAGAGCAGTTTAGAATAGAGAGAGTGAAGCCTTCACCACAACTGCTGTTATATATTTGGTTGCAAGTTACATTTTGCAACCACTGAATAAAAAGTAATTCCTGCTTTCCAAGGCTAGCATATTGAGATCTATTTCATTTTCAGGGAGGTAGATTATGGAGAGGGACTTGTGATGAATTGATGAAAGCCTTGTACTTTTCTCCTTAGAGGATCGTAGTCGCTTTCTGAGGTTTGTTACAGGAAGAAGCAGACTTCCAGCTCGAATTTACATCTATCCTGATAAATTAGGGTGAGTCCCGCTTCCCTCTTTGGGAGAGAAGACTGATTACCTTTGGAGTTTCATTATCTGGAAGATTCTTCCGACTTAACTTGTTTTCTTCTGTCTTATGGCCAAGCTCGGAGACCACCGATGCCCTCCCTGAATCATCCACTTGCTCCAGCACGCTGTTTTTGCCCAATTATGCCTCGTAAGTCTTATTCTAGAAAACTTCTTTATGATAGAGCAAAGGTGGGAAATTATGCTCCCTTTATGATTTGTGGACTTCAACTCCCAGAATTCTGCTGGCTCAGGAATTCTGGGAGTTGAAGTCCACAAGTCATAAAGGGGCCATTGTTCCCCACCACTGTAATAGAGAGACAATTTGGGGAAGATTATATAATAGCAGAACAGCAAGGACTGTTACATGCTGACCAGGGAAGTGATATACCAGTGATGGCGAACCTTTTAGAGACCGAGTGCCCAAACTGCAACCCAAAACCCACTTATGCATCATCGAGTGCCGGGTGGGCATGGCCCATTGGGTAGGTGTGGCCCATTGGGTGGGTGTGGCCCATTGGGTGGGCGTGGCTGAAGTGGTAACGGCAGAACTGAGTGGGACTAAAAAGTTCACTCAATCAATTCCAACTTTGCAAGATCTTTGCAAAAAGTTGAAATTGATTGATTGAACCTTTTTTTTTTTGCACATGGCGGCGGAGGCATAGAGAGAAAAGGTTTTATAAAACCCAGCTGAAGGCCTAGGACTGGGGCGACGGCGCCCGTGCCCACAGAGAGGGCTCTGAGTGCCACCTCTGGCACCCGTGCCATAGGTTCGCCACCACTGTGATATACAGTAGATAATGAGAACAGAAGATAGTTGTGGAGTGGAAGAAGTAGAGAAGTGTAAGTAGGAAAGTATTACTCTATACCACAACACAGGCAAATAGGGAGACTATGATAGTGACATAACTTCCATTGAACAATTACAGACAGAGACAGGTAAGCTAGAGGTGTACTGGGAATTTTCAGAATACCTTGAAATGTTAACCTAGTTTTTTGTATTATTTGTAGTGCCAAGGTTTGTGAAGAAAAATTGCGTTATGCAGCTTATAATTGTGTCGCCATTGATACAGACATGAGTCCATGGGAAGACTGAAACTCCACATTGGGAAGGATGATGGTCTCGCTAATGGTGGACTGATTTTTGTCCTTGCTACCTGAAAGAAGCTCTTACTCTCTATTCATCATGATCCACCCTCCACAAAGTGTATATGCGTGTACATAATCTAGAAAATAAAGTATCAAATGTGAACATTATATTAATACGCTGCTTTTCAGGAGAAGCTTGAGCAAAAGCTTCTTGCTAGTGAAAAGTTAGATAAGATTTATGGTTCAATAATTCAGTAATGCTTTTCCTTCTCTGAGAAAAATATTTAAAAATATAGTAAAATACTGCTTTGTAGCAAGATTCTTTCATTTTTGGAATCAAGACATATTTGATTTGATTTTGATTTTGATTTTATTAAATTTCTACCCCGCCCTTCTCCAAACGGACTCAGGGCGGCTTACAGCCATTTAAAACAGTACGTAATACAAAAAAGCTAATTTAAAATGTAATTAAAATAGAATATTAATTATTGGCCTTTTCTTATTAAAATTATTTTAAAACCAAAATTAAGATAACCCTTAGGCCAGTTCCCTACTGGAGCCTTTTTACTTTTTCATTTCTGTTTCTTCCTTAGACTGCAGTTGTATTGACATGTATTTGGGAGTAAGCTTAATGGAGCTCAGTAGGGTTTGTTTTTTGACTACACATTTGGACCAAAAAAAATGGGTGAATTACACGCAAAACATATACTTCCCTGTCCCTAATTCATTCAGAGATTATATTTCAGGGTCTCTTTCGCAGCAGTCAAGATATTATTTCCATTTACCTGCCCGTTTTTATGCAAAACCACAAATCTCTCTGCTTCTCTTCTTTTTTGCCTGAACTCTTTATTCTGACAATTGTGCTTTTTCTTTTAATAGCTGCATAAACACCTCCAACCACGAGTGGGCATTATGGAACCATAATTGGGGGAAAAAACCTCTCTTAGTCTACTACAGTTAAGATCATGTTTTGGGGTTTTATTTTAATGGTCAGTGCCTCCTTTCCCTTCTTTCTGTAGACCTCTGCTCCATACAACCCAAAGGAAAGGAGAGCAATTCTCTGCTTGTAATGGAGGAAATGTTCATCGGCTTGTCCCAACGTAGCTATTTCTTCAGCCTAACTCCCTTAAAGCCTTTTCCTAAAGTTCTACCTCTTGATTACTATCTTGAGTAACATTGCTAAAAGATGCTAGTTTCTGAAAGCTAAAATACCAGATCCATATATTTATTGTGCAAATAAGGGAAGGCACAAACTGGAAATAGCTTTTGGGGAGGGGGGGGAAGAGAGAAAAGTTTTTTGGCAAGTGATAACAGAAGGCAATTTATACTGCCTTCACCCTAATTTCTACTGCTGACCTCCCCTTTAACTTTACTCGCATGGTCACAGCTGTATTGGTACATTTGCCTGTTGATGCCCCAACATGAGGATTTTGACAGGATGGGAGACCAGAGTCCTCTGCCAAAATGCACAGGCTGTGGGCTGTAGGTTAGCTGCCTGGGTGGGCCACCCGAGCTGGCGGCTATTGTTGCCACATAATGGGCTTGATTGGTAATTGGGGAAGGGAATTTGGCGGGAAGGGGGGGGGGAGAGAGGAGGGACGGTGCCATCTCTGCAGCTGGGCTTTTGTCATGCAAAGCGGGGAGCAGGAAGGGAGGCTTCTCGGTATCTGGCAGCTTCTCTTCGGAGCTGCTCCCTTCTTTTACGCTTCTTTTCTTTTTAACCCGTCGCTTTCGTTTCGTCTCTCCAGACCAGCGAGGCTTCTCCGCCTGTCGCCCTACCGCGGACCGGCCGAGATTTCCGAGGAAGCCCGCGCACCCTCGCAAGGAAGGCGCCCTTGCAGCGTGGATGAAAGCATTGGAAAAAGTCTACGCTCGCTGCCGAAAGGGGTGGGGAGGGGAAGAGAGAAAGGCGTCTGATTCTGCCGCATTCATTGCACTCTAGCTCTTCATCACTGAATCGGACAGGAAAAGCGGGGGGAGTGGCGAGGGTCTCTCGGAGGTGCTGGCGGCCCCCCGAGGCGAGGAACAAGAACCGGGGATTAGGCGGGGAGGCCTGCTGGGCGAGGACGTGTAAGTCCCGTACCGCCTGTGGCGGGGGATTAATTACGGACCACCCAGCAGGCGGGGAGGGCACCGGCAGGCCTCAGGCAGGAAGGTTGTGTCCCGAGTTCAAGAGGCAGAGAAGACGCCTGTTGGTTGCCCTGCGGCTGCGGGAAGAAAGGAGAGGAGCGCCCCGCGCGCCGCCTGGCCTTTTCCCTCTTCCGAGCTCCGAGACGTGTTTAGGACGAGATCGACACTGAGGGCTCGCAAGACCAGCCGAAAGCCCGGGATAGACGAGACTTTTCGGGCAGGGGTGCCTCGGCCCCTGGGAGATGAGGCTCTGCTTTGCTTACTGGGCTTCAGTTTTCTTTCTGAAAGAGCAGGGCAGCCTCTCTCTCTCTCTCTCTCTCTCTCTCTCTCTCAGAATTGGGACCTTGAAGGTCATCTAGTCCAACCCCCTTCTCTCGCAAGAAACCTATACTATTTCTGATAAATGGCTAGCCAATCTCTTCTTAAAAGCTTCCAATGATGGACCCACGAGTTCCAAAGGCAATTTGTTCTACTGGTTAATTGTTCTCATTGTTAGGAATTTTCTCCTTAGTTCTAGGTTGCTTCGCTCCTTGATTAGCTTCCATCCATTGTTTCGTGTCCTGCCTACTGGTGCTCTGGTAAACAAATTGGGCCCCTCTTCCTTGTGGCAGCCCTTCAAGTATTGGAAGATGCTGTCATGTCATCCCTGGTCCTTCTTTTCTCTAAACTAGGCATACCCAGTTCCTGCAATCATTCTTTGTATGTTTTAGCTTCTAGGGCCCTAATCATGTTGTTGCTCTTTTCTGAACTCTTTGCAAGGTCTCAACACCTTTTTTGTATTGGGGTGATTGAAACTGGGTGCAGTATTCTAAGTGTAGTCTTACCAAGGCTTTGCAGAGTGGTACTAGTACTTCACGTGATCTTTTTTCTATCCTTCTGTTAATGTTAATGCTCTCTCTCTCTCTCACACACACACAACACACACACACTTTTTATTAGTTTATAAATACGATAAAAGAGAAATATAAATATAATAAAAAAATATAAAAACAGAAAAAGAAGTACCAAGAGATAGAAAAAAGAACATAAAAAGTAAGAAACAAAGATATATATAAAGTGTCTCCCCTTCCCTTCAGACAGGCATAAAAAACTTTTGTAATTTTATATCTTCTCTAATATTTCAACTTTTTAAAAAGTTCTCTTCTTCCCTTTTCTCAACTGTTATCAATAAATCCTTCAGTTCTAATCAGCAAAAATCAAGAGCTACCAGAAACAAGTAACATATTTTAACCTTGAACTAATAAATCCATTTTGTATTCCAATTTATCACTTTCAGTAAGAAATAAAGCAAAAGAAATATCTCTCCATTTATAGAAAGGACAGCATTTCTCAAATCTTATCCACTTAGTGATACCGTAATTAAGTAAACATTTAGAAAAGAATGGAATTGCCCAATTAAACAAACATCTATCTTACAAGAGCTGGGAGGGAAGAGTGGGGGCTTTGTCATATTTTTTTGGTGAACAAGAGAGTTATAAATGCATTTGTGTCAAAGACCTAAATTTGTTACAAAAATAATAAAAGTCCAAAGTCAAGTATATGTTTGCTAGTTGAATTATTTTATGCAACCTCTGGAAAATAACTATTAGCAAACTTGATGGTCAAGAATGCTTGTCTAGAAATTTCTGAGGGATAAATGGTCTCTAACCTCAGGGAATCCCACTTTAAATATTGCTATAGTTACTGTTTGCACTTTTCTTTGGGACTTGTGTGAGTTCATGGTTGGATTATTGCTTGCAGGGCCAGTGAACCAGGTTGCAGGCCCTGAAGCAGTTTTGCAAATTTGACTGGTGGTAAACCAGGGGTGTCCAACCTTGACAAGTTTAAAACTTGTGGACTTCAAATCCTGGAATTCCCCAGTCAGCATGTTGAAGTCCACCAGTCTTAAAGTTGCCAAGGTTGGATACCCTTGTGGTAAACTGAAAGAAACTTGTGGAGGGCAGCTTCAGAATCACTGTGGTTTGAAGCCTGGGCAGCAGCTGGAGACCAAGTCCCTTTATTAAGGGGGCCATGAGAGCTGGAGGGCAGGGAGATAAGGTAAAAGGATGGGGTAAAGTCTCAAGGGCTATGAATAGATTAGGAATGGTGAGAGCTGGGTTCTGTTCCACCCTTAGCCAGTGACTTTGGGCTAATTGTTTTCTTCTAGAAAAATGGTGATGGGGGGAGAATAGGGAGCATTTTGCTTGCTGCCTTGAGCTCCTGAATGAAATTGAAGAAATAAAAGTGAGCAGGCTTTTTTTTCCCCCAGGAACTAAAGGTCATCAATCGGACTCAGATCCCAAACTGAGTTTGTTCTAAGGAGAACTGATCATAGTCCTTCCACAAATATAGTAGTGGCCAAAATTGTGGAAACCCTTTGGGAAAAGTGTACAGTAGAAATGCCAACTTTGGTTATGTTTACACCAATTTTTCTTCTAATTTCTTTATAACTGTAGCCTTGTTCACTTAATAATACTATTTTACATCGCTTTCTGGGCAACCAGTCAACTCTTTGCATCATTACTTTAATTTTATTACGTTTTACAAGCTCACTAAATGAAAGAACACAAAAAAAAACCCCAGCCAACTTGATAGCGATCACATAACACACTGACAAATGTCCTCCTCTCAGCTTCAATACATGACATCAGTAACTGAATCCTACTGTGATCTGATTGGCTCATTGCCAAAACAAGATGACACCTGATTGGCTCTCTAAACACTCATGCTCATTGGCTACAATCAGATGAAGGAAAGCTACCTGATATCAACCTAAGCAAGTTGTGCTTCCTTTTTCTGGTTATTTGGCTCTAACTTTTCTTAGAATACAGTACAGATAATTGAACAAACTTTGTTGCATTACATTCTTGATTAAATTATCTTTCCATTGATATATAATTTTATGGTACTACTCCAAACAAAGTGATGTTATTAGCCATCAAACCTCAAAAGTACACTTTTCCCAAAAGGTTTCCACAATTTTGGCCACTACTGTATGTATATTTCCTTCACTTTTTAGTTCAGTGGTATAATTTATGTAGATTTCTAACGTGTGTCAT